ACAACCCGCTCCTACCACCCCCCCAACCTCCAAGCCCCCGTGGGCTGTCTCCGACTCAGGTGAACCCAACCACCGATGTCGCTGCTGCTGCTGCTGTAGAGTGCAGCTCTCTCTATTTTTAAAATCCTTTATATTAAGCTCACTTGCTTTCTTGCTTGCTTACGACCGTGGAAATCTTTCGGTCGTTTTTTAACCCACTTGCCGTGATCCAATCGAGCTGACATTTTGCACACAGACTCGTTGTGCTTGACAATTGATTTTCGTGAAAAAAATTTCCCAAAATTTTACACTGTTTAGGGAATTTTTTAAAAATATTTAATTACCAATTGCTTAATGCTGGCAGACAATCATCTGACCCATAGGTGGCAGCCATCTCAAGCTAGAGGACGAGAGGACTCTAGCCGCCACGCATATAAAGGATTTATAGTGAAAAACTTTGTTTTTACGGGTTAATTTTTTACAATCAGAGGAAACAAGAAGATGCTCGGTGTAGTAGGCACTTTGCTTCGTTCATCATTTCGTTTTTTGTTTAATGCTTTGCTTTATGTAACCTCCTCTCTCTCTCCGATGTGCTTCTCGCGTTGTGCCCGCTACGCATTGTCTCGGCACGGCGTCCGACGTTTCGCTCGACGCGCCGGGCAGCTTTGTCGGCAATTGCATGTTTCTACTCCGCCCGGCACGTGGAGCGAACTGTCAGGTTTGGATGTCGCTCAAAAACGTCTCCTCTGCTTCCTCCCCTCCCATCTGGAGCTCCCCCCGTCGCCTCCCGCAGTCGGCCGTGCTGTTGGCTCCATGCCAGAGGTCGCAAACGGGTTTTGATTCCTGACCCGTACCCGGCCGCTCCAGGATCGCAAACGGGTACCCGTATCCGTACCCGACCGTAACCGTACCCTACCCGTACCCGGCCGGGTACGGGTAGGGTACGGGTATCGGGTACCTGATTGCGACCTCTGGGATGAAGCCATGTTGCAGGCGCGGGTGGGTTGATTCTAAGGAAACTTGAATTGTGAGAAGAGACAAGACGTTGGGAAATGAGTGACAAACGGTGACTCACCAGTGACTCACGGTCTACCCGTACCCATACCCGGCCGCACCAGGGTTGCAAACGGGTACCCGTACCCGTACCCGGCCGGGTAGCCGGGTATCGTGTAGGGTACGGGTATCGGGTACCCGGTTGCGACCTCTGCTCCATGCCCCCTGGCTCAAGATCGTGCGATCTCTTCTCCTCTCTCTGTGTGACTGAAGCCCCTCTAGAATCACTTCCCCCTCTGCCTCCCGCGGCCATCCGTGACGTTGGCTCCATGCCCCGTGGCTTTGCGTCACCGTCCGCATTTCGACGCTACGCAAACAAAATCCACGTCATTTTGCGCGATCAACTGTTTGCTGTTGTTGTTTTTGTTATTGTCGTTTGTTGTTGTTACTTTACCGGGGCATAAGGGGAGTAAAGAGTCAAGGGATGTGATGATGATGATGTATGGGAGAGGGGGGGGGAGAAAAGAAGACCCCCACCCAAAAGAAAGTGGAAGAGAATAGAGAAGCGGCCGAAGAAGATTGGGGAACGAGGCAGGGAAATGACGGAAAAGGATCGAACAAAACTCGTGAGTTTACGGGTCACGAGAGGATCTGGAGGGAGAGGCTGCATCAAGGCCTCGCAGCAGCGTCTGTTTAAATAGGGGGGGGGGGGGGTGGGGAGCCCGCACAGAAGTCACGTGATTTGCGGGACGCTTGGTGCTGATTTCACCGTAGAGATGCGTCGGATTTTTGAATAAGATTGAGCAGCATGCAGAGGCTTGCCTATGGATGCTGTGTGCCACACATCATCAGCAAGGCGCGCGACTCCCATCCGATCGCCTGCTGTCCTTCCCCTGCACCTCCGTTGGCTGGCTACGTACGGTGCGAAAGAAGTCCACCATACATGCACATCCATCACGCTTGCACGCGCAATGCTCCCAGCCTTGACGAGACCACCAGCTCAAAAGAGCGTGGTCGAATTGTTGCTCAATAATGCGGTCACGTGTTGCACGCGTTTAACTCGATTAGAGTTGGTGGCCTGAACAAGTATAGCCCCCTCCCCCCGCCTCTCCCTCCCCCCGTGTTGAACTCTTCAGGTGCTGGTGGTCTAGACAAGGCTGCGTAGTGTGGTGGTCACATGACACGTGTGCGAGGTGTGGAGACAGGAGCCGTGCTTTGCTGCTGCGAAAGCGGCACACCTTTGCGTGTTGTTGAATCGCTTGAGTTGGTGGTCTAGGCAAGGCTGAGCGCATTGTACAGTACAGATGCGGGTGCAGTGGTCACATGACTTGCGCGCGAGGCGTATGGATGAGAGTCGAGCCTGGTAGCCGCTGTTCGTGAGCAGCAGTACACATTCACTCACCCACTCGCTCACTCTATCACGCACTCACCCACTCATTCACAAAACTCATTCACCCACTCTCTCACCCACTCACTCATGTATTCACCCAATCTCTCACTCATTCACTCACTCTCTAACGTACTTACCCACCCACTCATGTATTCACCCACTCTCTCACTCATTCACCCACTCTTTAACTCACCCACTCACTCATGCATTCAGCCACTCTCTCACTCATTCACCCACTTTCTAACTCACCCACTCACTCATGCATTCACCCACTCTCTCTATCATTCACCCACTCTCTCACTCATTCACCCACTCTCTAACTCACCCACTCACTCATGTATTCACCCACTCTCTCACTCATTCACCCACTCTCTCTATCATTCACCCACTCTCTCACTCATTCACCCACTCTCTAACTCACCCACTCACTCATGTATTCACCCACTCTCTCACTCATTCACCCACTCTCTAACTCACCCACTCACTCATGTATTCACCCACTCTCTCACTCATTCACCCACTCTCTCTATCATTCACCCACTCTCTAACTCACCCACTCACTCATGCATCAACACACTCTCTCACTCATTCACCCACTCTTTAACTTACCCACTCACTCATGTATTCACCCACTCTCTCACTCATTCACCCACTCTCTCTATCATTCACCCACTCTCTAACGTACTCACCCACTCCTTCATGCATTCACTCACTCTCTCACTCATTCACCCACTCTCTAACTCACTCACTCATGCATTCACAAACTCTCTCACTCATTCACCCACTCTCTCACTTATTCACCTACTCTCGAACATACTCACCCACTCTCTCTATCATTCACCCACTCACTCATGCATTCACACTCTCTCATTCGTCCATTCACTCGTCTCGTTCACCCACTCACCCACCCACCCACGCGCTCTCACCCATTCGCCTGCTCACTCGCTCACTCATCCACCCGTCACCTTTGCGTGCCGTCATTTCCATTCGTTACCAACCCAGCGCGCGTCCCTTTCCCTGTCGTAACGGCGACGACGGTGATCGCGTTTGTGGTTCGGGGTTTCGAGGGTTTCCCTCCCTCCCCCCCCTCCCCACCCCTCCCCATCATTCGCAGAGAGTGTTGGCGTTCGGAATCCTTTGGGAACGTGATGCGTCGTCACAATCGCCGTGGATTCCACCACCACCACCACAACCCCTACCCTCCCAAGCCCTCCCCACCCGAGCCTCTGCTAACACGGACAGACGGACGAAGCCCGCGGGGCTACAACACCGATACACGCGCCGTGGCAGGGAAGCAACAGCAGCAACAGCAGCAGCATCGGAGTTTGTAGATCTGGCAACCACGCGTTGTTTTAAAAAAAAATGACAAAGCCTATAAAATAGCAGGCGAGAGCCGTTGCACGTTGACACTTGTGTATACGCCAGTAGCAAACGGGACGATGGATTGGTGTACATATATAAACCCCGAAGACAAATATCTCCCGTCGTTTGAGAAAGTAACAAAAGATCATCATGTCGAGCGGATAACCGTCGCACACCCGCGCGCAGATTTCCCATCGCACGGACGATTCTGAGAAGTGAGACCCGCGACACGAAGGAGATGCCACGCTCGTCTGGAAGGGGGTCATGGGGTGCCAGGAAAGCATTTTGTTTGTGAGATTCCACAATGTCTTCTTGGTTCTTTCGGTAAAGTCACGTAGAAGGGAAGTAATAAAATAATAAAAAATAAAACATAATTAAATAATTCTCACGACGTTTCGGCCACAACGCAAGCAGCAGCAGAATTATTTAATTATGTTTTATTTTTTATTATTTTATTACTTCCCTTCTACGTGACTTTACCGAAAGAACCAAAAAGATGAATCCCTGCAGTCACGAAAGCTTTAAATCGAAAAATTCCACATTGTGTTTTTGTTGTTGTTAATTCCAATGTCCAGAGGTTCCCTCCCATCGATAATTCCAATCTCATTCCCACCGGCGAATTTAAATCTCCATCGCGAATTCAAAACCAACAGAGTTCCCGTCCATCGCTCATTCCAAATCTCCTTCTCACCGGCGAATTTAAATCTCCATCGCGAATTCAAAACTAACTGAGGTCACGTCACATCGCTCATTACACATCTCCAGAGGGTTTCCACCATCGGGCAATATCTGAAAAAATTCCTCCCGTTATTCTTCTGCTCACAGACACACACACACACAAAACCCATGAAATAAAACCAAAACCGTCAATCGCGAAGTCATTGGAAAAGAGTTTTTCTGCGCCAGTTTGCGCGGTTAAAAAAATTAAGAACATAATTCATTTCAGAATCTTCCCGCGATCAAAAAAACCAGAGCGAGCCATGATACACACGAAGCAGCGTAAGTTTGTAAAATATTTCTTTTCCTCTTTCCCAGGATGCGGACGAAGAGGCTCTCCCCTGCCCCCCCCTCCCTCGGCTCCTCCGCGCGCCGTCGGAACGCGGCGGCGGGGGCGGCGGTGGGGGGGGTTCAGATGAGCTCCGTCGTGTTCACCGCCACCGCTCGCCACTCCTCGCTGCCGATTGAACCCACGCACAAAAGTGAAGTTTCGCCGTCGCTTGAGAAGTCGTCCCCGCCAGCCCCCCACCACCACCACCAGCACCACGTGGCCACCCCACACCCCCAGTGGATGAGACTCCTCCGCCAGTTGAGCGGCAGATGCCGAATCCACCGTTCAGAGGTTTTGTTTTTGAAGAGAGAGGGGGAGCGAGCGAGCGAGCGAGAGAAACACCACGACCACCAGCAGCAGCAGCAGCAGTAGTCGCAGTCTTCTCCGGGAATACAAAAAAAATAAGACCGCAAAAAACAACTCCCAGTCATCGTTGTCCAGTGGTCTTTGCTGTTCGCTTTTGTTTAAAAAAAATGTCTCTTCGTATTCATCCGGATGTCCAGTTGTTGTCTCTCTCCTCTCCTCTCTATACGTTAGCGATGAGCGTGTATATCATGCTGCGAATTGAGCAGAGAGAGAACAAGGGTTAGCGACGCAATTCGCAGAAACACAAACACGTGGCAAAGAAAACAAAGACCCCCCCGTGTAGCCTGTAACAGACTATAGGGGCAAGTGCTGTTAGCGAGCACCTACGAAGGCCGGAACGGTACATCAGGGGCGTGGGTGGCTATCACCACGCCCGACCGCCTTTGTCTCCCTAGTGGCGATATATATATTTTTTTACACCGCACCAAGTACTAATTTGAGGATGAGTTGACTGAGGGTAGGCCCCAGTAGCAGTTCAAATAATCGTCACTGGTGTTGGCCGTGAGTGGGAATGGAACTCGGGTCTGCCAGGTTCGTAGCGCGGCGTGCTAGCCGCTACACTACCGCTCCTCACACACAGATATTACCGTCGCAAACTCGTGATGATAGTTGTGAAAAAACGTTTTAAGTGTCCGTTTTTGGTGTGGGTTGTGTACGTCTGTGTGTGTTTTGGGGAGCGGTGGCGCAGTGGTTAGCCCACTGTGCTCCATAATTGGTGGCTCAGCTCCGATTCCCACCTCCAAGTGATAAACAGTGGGGCATATTTGAACCTGCTCTATGGGTTTCGCCAAAGAAAACATAGTACTTGGTGCGGTGTGTAAATATCAGCACTGGGGAGACAAAGGTGGCTCAGGGCATGGCGTTGTGCCACCCCCCCCCTCCTCTCGTGTGCCATTCCGGCCTTCGTGAGGTGCTGCAAAGTCGCCAACGGCACTTGCCCCAAAAGTCTGCTCGAGGCTATCCGGGGGATCTTCATCTTGGCACAGTGGGGTGCACAGGTGGTGAATCTGTTAAGTCAATCTCAGGCAGTCGACTCATTACACCTTGGGGCTGTCATGTGACCTCCTGGCAACTTTCCACGCTCCACGCGGTATCCTCAAAGTGCATCTAACCTGGCACTCACTTAGCGGTGAATGGCGGCTGTTATTGGTTGTCGTGTGCCTGTGTGTCACCTGTCATGTAATGCCGGTGTGCTGGTGTGTGTTGGTGCTCGCTAACAGCACTTGCCCCCACAGTCTGTTAAGGCTACACGGGGGATCTTTGTTGGTACACTCTTGTGGCGAGTGGTGGTGTAGTGGTTTGCGCTGCACTATGAACCCGGCGACCCGGGTTCGATTCCTGGTCACGGCCAACACCGGTGACGATTGTCCGAACCGGTCCTGGGTCGACTCAGCCTCAAATGAGTACCTGGTGCGGTGTGTAAACATCGCCACTGGGGAGACAAAGGCGGTCGGGCGTGGTGCTGGCCACCCAGCCCCTCGTGTGCCGTCCCGGCCTTCATAGGTGCTCGCTAACAGCACTTGCCCCTACAGTCCGTTGAGGCTATACGGGGGATCTTTATCTTTGTCGGTACACTTATCCATTGACAGATTCACGTCGAACACGTGTGTATCCGTGCGCATGCGTTTGCGCGCGCGCAGTGCGTTCATCCGCGTGTGCGGAGTGTTGTCGCAGTGGTCAGCGCACTGCTCCACACTCGACTTTCACTCGGGGCCAACATCGGTGACGAACATCGGTAACCGGTCCACGGGCGGCTTCGATCGGGGCGAGCCGCCGACGGAAGACGGCGGCGGACGGCCACGTGACGCTGTCCCATCCACCGCCCTCCCACGAGGTGCTACTGCTCCCACAGACTCTCAGGGGCTCCGGGGGGGGGGGGGGTGGCGGTGGATCTTTGTCTTCGGTGATAATGGGGCTGGGTCGGCTAGGGACACGAGCTGCCAGATTGTCGCTGGCTGCTCGGCTCCCCTCTCTGCCTCTGGCCTCGCGTTAGGGGGCGGGGGTGGAGTGGGGGGGGGGGGTGGAGTGGGGGGGGGGGGGGTGGAGTGGGGGGGGTGGAGTGGGGGGGGGTGGAGTGGGGGCCGGGGGTATCCCATCTGCTTGCATTGGGGGGGGGGGCAGGCGTCCGGCGAGAAGGATCGCGGCGAGCTATGTGGATGTTCCGCTCACATCTCCGCAGAATTCTCCATCAAAGGGGGACATCGTCCCCAATGCCTTCTGCTCGCCCCCCCCCCCATAAAAACTCTGCCGTCCCCCCCCCCCCCTTTCTCCCCGGCACCCCCGGACAGATTAATTTGTGCGCAGCATCTGTCGACCGCTTTGTTCGGCGCAGTCCGGCCACCGCCGCATTCCGAATTTGACTGCGTGTCTGTCTGTAACGTGGGGTCACGGTGAAGTGAATGTGTGTAACGTGGGGTCACGGTGGAGTGTCTGTGTGTCTGTGTGTCTGTGTGTAACGTGGGGTCACGGTGAAGTGTCTGTGTGTAACGTGGGGTCACGGTGAAGTGTCTGTGTGTAACGTGAGGTCACGGTGAAGTGTCTGTGTGTAACGTGGGGTCACGGTGAAGTGTCTGTGTGTAACGTGGGGTCACGGTGAAGTGACTGTGTGTCTGTGTGTAACGTGGGGTCACGGTGAAGTGAATGTGTGTCTGTGTGTAACGTGGGGTCACGGTGAAGTGTCTGTGTGTCTGTGTGTAACGTGGGGTCACGGTGAAGTGTCTGTGTGTAACGTGGGGTCACAGTGAAGTGACTATGTATCTGTGTGTAACGTGGGGTCACGGTAAAGTGACTGTGTCTGTGTGTAACGTGGGGTCACGGTGAAGTGTCTGTGTGTCTGTGTGTAACGTGGGGTCACAGTGAAGTGTCTGTGTGTAACGTGGGGTCACGGTGAAGTGTCTGTGTGTCTGTGTGTAACGTGGGGTCACAGTGAAGTGTCTGTGTGTAACGTGGGGTCACGGTGAAGTGACTGTGTGTCTGTGTGTAACGTGGGGTCACGGTGGAGTGACTGTGTGTAACGTGGGGTCACGGTGGAGTGTCTGTGTGTAACGTGGGGTCACGGTGAAGTGTCTGCGTGTAACGTGGGGTCACGGTGGAGTGACTGTGTGTAACGTGGGGTCACGGTGAAGTGTCTGCGTGTAACGTGGGGTCACGGTGGAGTGTCTGTGTGTAACGTGGGGTCACGGTGAAGTATCTGCGTGTAACGTGGGGTCACGGTGGAGTGAATGTTGATCTGTGTGTAACGTGGGGTCACAGTGACGTGTCTGTGTGTAACGTGGGGTCACGGTATCTCTCGCGAAGCTGATCCGATACGAGTGGACCTTCAGTGTGTCGAGGCTGTGTCGCTCTTAGAGTCTCGCCCGAGAGAGACAGCCGGCCACGTTGATCACAGCGTGACCCCCGCGACCTCCCGGGCAGAGCCGCTACTTATCCGAGCCGCGTGTTCCCATTGCGACCCACGCACGGACTCAGCTGCCAGCATTGATCGCGACCGTTACGTCGCTAATCAAACACCTCCGTGGGCAACGAAACGCCGCGTTGGCAATCGTGAGCGAGAAAAGATTTTCAATCCGCAGCCGATGGGCGACGGCCACCGTGGAGGGAGGAGGAGATGGTGGGGGTTCGTGGAGGATGTGTGGGGGGGGGGATCATTATTATTCTCGTGATCGAGACCATGAGAGAAGGAGTCCCGCTGTGTCTCCCCCCCCCCATCTCCACTAGAACAAAGATCCCCCGTATAGCCTTAACGAACTGTTAGGGCAAGTGCTGTTAGCGCGTATCACCTACGAAGGCCGGGCACACGAGGTGAGCGGGTGGCGAGCAGCACCACGCGTGGCCGCGTAAGTGCTGATGTTTACATGTCGTACCAAGTGCTCATTTAAGGCTGAGTCGACCGAGGGAAGAGGCCCAGGAGTGGTTCAGATTATTGTCACCAGCACCGTGCCCGTCTATACATATCAGCGGGAGGCTGTCTGATAATCCAACATCAAGAGCATCAACAACAACAGCATCAGCAACATCAACGACGATGACAGCAGCTCAAGGGACGAGCGATTTAAGTTTGGAATGAAAGAGGAAATAAACAAAAGGGAAAATCAAACAACGACTCTTGACATCTCGGCCAGGCCAGGCGCATGCCCTCCCCAAGACGCCCCTGCCACCCCCGCCGCCACCCCGCACCACCTCCCGCCTCCGCCGCCTGGGAAGTGCCGAAGAGACCCTGCAGTGCTGTTGGTGGCCCTACGCGGCGAGTGATCACTGAACGGGGTTCAGGGATCACTGGACTGGGTTCATGGATATTCTTTGGTTCTTTCGGTAAAGTCACGTAGATTGAAAAATTATAATGAAGTGAATAAAATGTAATGATACAAAAATAAAAAAAACACGACGTTTCGATCGCAACACAAACGGTTGTCATCAGGAAAAGGGGGTTAGCCTCTAAAGGCAAACTGTTTATAAAGGTTTAAAATGGGCGTAGCCCAACGTGTCAGCAGCATGGGCGGGGCAGCTAATGTTAATGTGAGTGATGGGCAATGGCGGCGTTTGTGGTGGGTTTCCACCAATTAAATGGCTGCCAGGTAAAGGTTTAACATGGGCGTAGCCCACGTGTCAGCAGCAAGGGCAGAGCAGCTAATGTTAATGTGAGTGATGGTAGTAGTGGGCAACGACGGCGCTGGTGGTGGGTTTCCCCCATTTAAAGGGCCGCCAGGTAATCACTGCACCTCGCTTTATACACTCACACTGTCGATGGTGGAGGTTGCTGCTGCTAGAGGGGATGGTAGTAGTGGGTAATGATGGTACAGGTGGTGGGCTTCCACCAATAAAAGGCTTCTACTAGTCGTGATGGTAGTAGTGCGCAGCGATGGTCCTGGTGGTGGACTTCCACTAATTAAAGGGCTGCTAATAATAAAATTGGGTTAATGGAGTATTGAACTGGGTTCAGGGATCACTCGCCGTTGATTATGTGGTCGTGTTTGTAAAATCCACACTCAGAAGGGGCAGGTGGGTGAGTGCTGAGCCGGTGGCGCTGAGAATCCTGGGTTCAAATCCTGGTTTCAGCCGCTGCCTGCGATTGTACCGGGATCTCAAGGGCAGCGAGATTGTCTCAGCTCAGTCAACAATGACTCACATAGAGACCCATAGACTCACACAAAGGTTAATCGACTCCCATAGAGACCCATAGACTCACACAAAGACTCACAAACTCGCATAGAGACCCATAGACTCACACAAAGACCCATACTCACATAGGGACCATAGACTCGCATAAAGTCCCAGAGACTCACACAGTGACTCATAGACTCACATAGAGATCCATATACTCACACAGAGACCCACACTCACATAGAGACTAATAGACTTACATTGGGACCCATATACTAACAAAGAGACCCATGTATTCACACAGAGACCCTTATACTCATATAGAGACCCATAGGCTCAAATAGAGACCCATCGACTCACATAGAGACTCAAAGAGTCACATGAAGACCCATAGACTTACAGAGACCCATAGACTCACATATAGACCCATATACTCACATAGAGACCCATGTATTCACATAGAGACCCATACTCACATATAAACTCATAGACTCACATAGGGACCATAGACTCGCATAAAGTCCCAGAGACTCACACAGTGACTCATAGACTCACATAGAGATCCATATACTCACACAGAGACCCACACTCACATAGAGACTAATAGACTTACATTGGGACCCATATACTAACAAAGAGACCCATGTATTCACACAGAGACCCTTATACTCATATAGAGACCCATAGGCTCAAATAGAGACCCATCGACTCACATAGAGACTCAAAGAGTCACATGAAGACCCATAGACTTACAGAGACCCATAGACTCACATATAGACCCATATACTCACATAGAGACCCATGTATTCACATAGAGACCCATACTCACATATAAACTCATAGACTCACATAGGGACCATAGACTCGCATAAAGTCCCAGAGACTCACACAATGACTCATAGACTCACATAGAGACCGACACTCACATATAGACTCATAGACTTACATAGGGATCCATAGACTCACACAGAGACCCTTATACTCACATAGAGACCCATAGACTCACAGAAACCCATAGACTCACATAGAGACCCACAGACTGATATAGAGACCTACAGGCTCATACAGAGACCCAGCGACTCACATCGAGACCCACAGGCTCACATAGAGACCGAGAGATTCACAGAGGCCCAGTAGTGATTAAACTTAACTCTGAAGTACAGCGAGTTGATTAGTCCTTGGGCCAGACCACATATCGGTACCACCCAAGGTGCAAAAACTTAAATGGTGCCGTTTTATGTGTTAAACCAACAGTAGTAAACGACTACATGATAACCTTTCCAATGAGCGGCTGTTTAATTTTTCTCGCAGGAAACCTGTTTTTGCACCCCTCGCAATCACGCCTATTTGCCCGGACGTTACAAATAAAACATTCCAACACCTCTGCTGTTAATTAAGACAAGAAATAATTGACAAAATGCATGTTGTCCCCAAGGCATGTATTTCATACATATTCTTGCATTTATTCGCGCTTGTTCTTCAATGTCAGTGACTTAGTTAAGTCTGGAATAGATTGGCGCTTTCTGTTTTCCTTTTGTTTCTAGCAGCTTGTTTGCTCATGATCATCTACTGGTAGGTGAGGCAAGTACTGGTGGTTCTGCATTATATCTGTTCAGTAAAGATATCTAAAGTGCTAACTTTACCCTTCATGTATTGTTAATGTACCTGCTAAGATTATTTGTTAAGGCCAGGTACCACAGGCAAAAATATAATGATTTTTGTTGAGTTGTCAATGTTGATATATTTTTTATTTTGCTTCTATAAATTATAAACTATCATAACATGCACACAATTATTACCATGAACTTTGTTATTGGTAATAATTGATGATTAAAGTCATAAAAACTGACTATTTATATTTTACAAATAGTTAGTTTTTACGACTTTATACAAATTTCGCTAAGTAATCAAACGCGCGCGTGCGTGGCGTGCATCTCAAAGAGAAATCGGGCCAGCTGAGATTTTCCACAGGGCTTCACATCGGCGGTGTTCATTGCCGCGAATGTGAGTAGCAACAGGAAGGCATCAATCATTCAATTACCTGCGTTTGACGTCCTCCCACGCACACACAAGAGAGAGATCCCCTCGTCGTGCCATGAGTGTGTACGTGTGTGCATGTTGAACTTCTGTCGCATTCAACGTAGCCAACCGTGCTAATCGGACGTGACTTAACAGACTGTTGGGGCAAGTGCTGTTCGCGAGCACCTATGAAGGCCGGCACGGCACACGAGGGGGTGTGTGGCCAGCACCACGCCCGGCCGCCTTTGTCTCACCAGTGGCTGAGTCGACCTAGGGGAGGCCCAGGACGAGGTTCAAATAATCGTCACTGGTGTTGGCCGTGAGCGGGAATCGAACCCGGGGCTCCGGGATCGTAGCCCGGTGCACTAACCACTACACCACCGCTCCCCATACCCTCATAGATGCACTAATGAGCACATGCACCCCCCCCCCATAAAAGATCCCCCCGTATAGCCTTAACATGCTTTCGGGGGCAAGTGCTCTTAGCGAGCACCTACGAGGTGGCGGCACGGCACACGAGCAGGTGGGTGACCAAGACCACGCCAGGCCGCCATTTTAGTATTGGGTGAGTGAGCTAGCGAGCGAGGTGGAGGTGGGCAGGGGTGGGGTGGGGGTGGGGGGGTTAGTGGACACTCACTTGTAGAGGTAATAGAAGAAGGAGAGAAGGTAGAAGCCCAGCTTGAGCCAGCCTTCCCGCTGGCAGTAGCCCAGCACCTCCACGTTCGTCAGGCTCGTGGGGCTGTACAGGCCGTCTAACAGGGGCCTGTGGAAGTACCTACAGACAGACACAAAGACAAAGACCCCCCCAACGCGGGAATAGCCTTCAACAGACTGTTGGGGCGAGTGCCGTTTGAAAGCAGCACACCGTGAAGACCTTGAAGCGGGAATTGAACTTGGGTCGCCGGGTTTGTAGTGCAGTGCGATAACAGCGGCCCTACCGCTCCCAATACCTACACAAAGACCGCCCATAGAGCGTTAACAGACTTTCGATTTAAAGCTTTCGTGACTGCAGGGATTCATCTTCTTGGTTTTTTCGGTAAAGTCACGTAGAAAGGAAATAATAAAATAATAAAAATATAACATAATAAAATAATTCTCACGACGTTTCGGCCACAACGCAAGCAGACCTGTTCTCCACCTGAGGACGGCTGCTTGCGTTGTGGCTGAAACGTCGTGAGAATTATTTATTATGTTTTATTTTTATTATTTTATTATTTCCATTGTACGTGACTTTACCGAAAGAACCAAGAAGATTTTAACAGACTGTTCGGGCAAGTGCTGCTCGCGAGAAACCTATACTTACACACATTTTTTTTTCAAAGATCCCCCGTATAGCCTTAACAGACTGTAGGGGCAAGTGCTGTTCGCGAGCACCTATGAAAGCCAGAAAGGCACACGAGGAGGTGGGTGGCCAACACCACGCCCGGTCACATTTGTCTTCCCAGTGGGAATGTTTTACACACCACATCAGGTACTCATTTGAGACTGTTTCGACTCAGAAAAGGCCCAGGACCGGTTCAGATAATCGTCACTGGTGTTGGCCCTGAGCAGGAATCGAACTCGGGTCGCCGGGTTCGTAGCGCGGCATGCGAACCGCTATACTACCACTCCTCACTACCTATACACACACACGTACACACGCACATATAGGCAAATCGAGCAATACAAGCAAGCAAAGCATGCACTGCAGAGACGAACACACAAGGGACAAAGACACGAACATACACGCACGCACGTGACTTTCTGTATGGCGGTTGGCTGAGCGAGTGGGTGAGCGTTGGTTTTAGTGGGTGAGTGAGTCCTTGGTGGTTGCAACGCAAGTATGTGGGCAGATGACACGTGACCTTAGGTCTGGTGGACCCAGTGCTCAACATTGGTAGAGTTATCAACGAGCGAAGTTCATGGGACATTGGCCGTGGTAGTAGCGATAGAAGATACACATCACGTCTTCCCAGGTCTACTAGTCTACGAGTGATCACCCGCAGCTACATCCCCGTACAATCAACACTCAGGAACCCTACTGCTGACAAGTTGTAACTTATTTTGAGTAAAGTGGAAACTAACAATTTGCACGTGCTAATTGCCCATTACGTGAAGTGTGGGAGTTTGAGTGCTTACGTGTGTAAGGGTCGGTGAAAGGCGTACCCCTATTCGTTCGTGATTTCGCCATCACTTTCGGCGAATCTCAACGGCCTCGATATTTGAAATCCGTCAGCCTCATTGCCATTGGCCAGTTGTCAGCCCGTGCGGCTCTGCCAATTTGATTGCCGAACGGACAGTGTGCACATCGGATTGGTCGGACGTTGGGCGGTCTGACCTCATTGGCTGAGAATTTGAAATGGTCGAAGCGTGGTAAAATTTGAAGGGAAAATGCAGGGCAGCGGATTGGCCAGTAGACGGACGGAAAGTTATAAATGTAGTAGGCGATTGGCCAGGAGATGGGGGGGGGGGGGGATGGCAGTTAGAAAGCGTGGCAGCGGATTGGTCAGGAGATGGGGGGCAGTTAAAAAGCGTAGAAGCGGATTGGACTGGAGACGGGGAGCAGTTAGAAAGCATGATAGCTGATTGTCCAGATGATGGGGGCAGTTCGTAAGCAGGGCAGCGAATTGGCTAAGAGACGGGGGGCAGTTATGAAACGTTGACAGAGAGCTTGTATGAAACCTTCAAACAGCTTGCGCTTAGTTGCTCCCCCCCCACCTTTTTCCACCTAACGACGGTCGCTTGTGTTACGATCGAAACTTCCTAGTTTTTTGTTTATTGTATTACTTTTTTTAACCTATCTACCTGACTTTACCGAAAGACCCAAAGAATAAGCTTGAATTAGTATGAAAGGGAGGGGGCCGCAACGGGAATTGGGGGCGCATTTGAGATGTATCTCCTGGCTAGCGAGCGAACGAGTGTGCATGTCGTCAGCTGAATAAACTCTCGCCCTTCCCACACTCGAAGCAATTGTCTGTGTGGACTCCCTCCCAGGTGCACGCGTGATTGTTCAGGGCATAGCGGTTAGCGCACTGTTTTGCTGCAAACCCACCAAAAACCGAGTTCGGTTCCCGGCCATGGCTGGCATCGGTAGCGAGCGACATCGGAATTGATTGTAGGCCCCCTCTTCCTCAGCCTGCACTGACCAGCGTGGTGAAGTTATAGCCAATCAACTTCCGTGAACGACGCGGTGATGGGGCAACAAATCCTGGTACAAGGCGAGAGGGAGGAGGGACGTGTGGATTGACGTTGTTAACGTGCTATAATTTCATGTCCCGCACGACTGCATCCATCACGGCCTCGTTCTGTGCTGCCCCAGAGATTTCTGAACCACTCCCAGGCCACCTCCTCCACGTCTGTTCAATGTTATGAATTGTTATCGTATTGTATCATCGTCATTATTATTCCGCTTGTTTTGACCCAGGAAAGCCTCATGAGGGTTCTATCAAGTTTTCCGAGTAAGGGGGAGGCGCGGGGGGGGGGGGGGTGTTAATTGCTACGTGGCATCCCAGTTGTGCGTTTTTTGCGGAGTACTTTTTCAAGTTGAGGGCCGCGTGAATTGGCAAAGCAGACGGGGGGCAGTTAGAAAGTTTGGTAACCGAAGGGCCAAGAGACAGGGGCAGATGGAAAGCGTGGTAGCAGATTGGCCAGGAGCCGGAGGGCAGTTAGAGAGTGGGAAAGTGGATTGGCCAGGAGACGAGGAGCAGTTAGAAAGCGTGGAAGTGGATTGGCCAATAGATGGGGAGCAATTAGAAAGCATTGCAGCGGATTGGCCAGGAGACAGGGGGCAGTTAGAAAGTTGGAAGGCAGATTGACCAGGAGATGAGGAGCAGTTAGAAAGCGTGGAAGTGGATTGGCCAAGAGACGGGGGACAGTTAGAAAGCGTGGAAGTGGATTGGCCAAGAGATGGGGGGCAGTTAGAAAGCGTGGAAGTGGATTGGCCAAGAGATGGGGGGCAGTTAGAAAGCGTGGTAGCAGATTGGCCAAGACACAGGGGACAGTTAGAAAGCGTGGAAGTGGATTGGCCAAGAGATGGGGGACAGTTAGAAAGCGTGGAAGTGGATTGGCCAAGAGATGGGGGGCAGTTAGAAAGCATGGTAGAGGATTGGCCAAGACACAGAGGACAGTTAGAAAGCGTGGTAGTGGATTGGCCAAGACACAGGGGACAGTTAGAAAGCGTGGTAGAGGATTGGCCAAGACACAGGGGACAGTTAGAAAGCATGGTAGCGGATTGGCCAGGAGACGGGGGGCAGTTAGAAAGCGTGGTAGTGGATTGGCCAAGACACAGGGGACAGTTAGAAAGCATGGTAGCGGATTGGCCAGGAGACGGGGGGCAGTTAGAAAGCATGGTAGTGGATTGGCCAAGACACAGGGGACAGTTAGAAAGCGTGGTAGAGGATTGGCCAAGACACAGGGGACAGTTAGAAAGCATGGTAGCGGATTGGCCAGGAGACGGGGGGCAGTTAGAAAGCGTGGTAGTGGATTGGCCAGGAGGTGGGGGGTGGGGGGCATTGATTGCTATGTGGCATCCCAGTTGCTCGTTTTTTGCAGATACATTTTTCACGTTTGGAATATTGAGGGTCCGCAATGCGGACAGCAACAATAAAATGGCCTGGTCCTTTTTGAATGACGTTGCAGGGATCTCTGACGGCGGCCACGGGAGCGGAGTAGGATTCTTTTGTTATGTTATAGTTAATGTCGCGCACCGCAGAATTAACCAGGGCGGTCGCTGGGCTTGAACCGCGAACCTCTGCAATGAGCGGTTGAATGCGTTGCCATTGTTCGATGTGACCGAATGTTCCGGTGACTGTCGTGCACATGGCGTGGGTACGTATGAATGAGCGTGAGGATAGTAAGGATCGTAGTGAGCATTGTGAGGATGAGGTTCGTGGTGAGGATGAGGATCATGGTGATGATGATGGTGAGGAATGGTGGTGAGGATGAGGATGATGGTGAGGATGGTGGTGAGGATGGGGATCATGGTGATGATGATGGTGAGGAATGGTGGTGAGGATGACGATGGTGGTCAGGGGTGTGGATGAGAATCATGGTGAGGATGAGGATAGTGGTTTTGATGAGAGTGAGGATGGTGATGAGGTTTGTGGTGTGAAATGGTGAGGATGGTGGGGAGGATTTTGGTGAGAATGAGGATCATGGTGATGATGGTGTTGGTGGTGAGGATGGCGGTGAGGATGAGGATGGTGGTGTGGAGTGTTGATGCGGATCATGGTGATGATGGTGGTGAGGAATGGTGGGGATGAAGACGTTCGTGACGTGGATGGTTGTGGGAATGGTTTTGGAGGATGGGGGGTGGTGATGATGGTGGTGAGGGTGACAGTGGTGGTGAGGATGCTGCTGCTGGTGGTGGTGGTGAGCATGGCTCGCCCTCACCTCCACACGTGGTAGCACAGCAGCGGAGTGTTGAGGCTGAGCGTGAGCCACTCCATGGCGCAGAGGAACATGAGGCAGAAGAGTGCGTGGATGAAGTACTCAGGCGATATGATCTGCGGTGAGAGAGAGGGGGGGGGGGGGGGGAGAGTGTGAGTAGGGTGCGGTAGTGTAGCGGGTAGTGTAGCAGTTAGCTTGGGTAGTGTAGCGAGTAGTGTAGCGGTTAACTCGGGTAGTGTAGTGGGTAGTGTAGTGGGTAAGGTAGCAGGTAGTGTAGCGGGTAGTGTAGCGGTTAGCTTGGGTAGTGTAGCGGGTAGGGTAGCGGGTAGTGTAGGGGGTCGTGTAGTGGTTAGCTTGGGTAGTGTAGTGGGTAGTGTAGCAGGTAGTGTAGCGGGTAGTGTAGCGGGTAGTGTAGCGGTTAGCTTGGGTAGTGTAGTGGGTAGTGTAGCAGGTAGTGTAACGGGTAGTGTAGCAGGTAGTGTAGCGGGTAGTGTAGCAGGGTAGTGTAGTGTAGGTAGTGTAGCAGTAGTGTAGCGGATAGTGTAGCGTGTAGTGTAGCAGGTAGTGTAGCGGGTAGTGTAGCAGTTAGCTTGGGTAGTGTAGCGAGTAGTGTAGCGGTTAACTCGGGTAGTGTAGCGGGTAGTGTAGTGGGTAAGGTAGCAGGTAGTGTAGCGGGTAGTGTAGCGGTTAGCTTGGGTAGTGTAGCGGGTAGGGTAGCGGGTAGTGTAGGGGGTCGTGTAGTGGTTAGCTTGGGTAGTGTAGTGGGTAGTGTAGCAGGTATTGTAGTGGGTAGTGTAGCGGGTAGTGTAGCGGTTAGCTTGGGTAGTGTAGTGGGTAGTGTAGCAGGTAGTGTAACGGGTAGTGTAGCAGGTAGTGTAGCGGGTAGTGTAGCAGGTAGTGTAGCGGGTAGTGTAGCAGGTAGTGTAGCGGATAGTGTAGCGGGTAGTGTAGCAGGTAGTGTAGCGGGTAGTGTAGCGGTTCGCGCTACACCCAGTGACGATTATCTGAACCGGTCCTGGGCCTCACCTAGGTCGACTCAGCCTCAACTGAGTACTCGGTGCGGTGCGTATAAACATCGCCACTGGGGATACAAGGCGGCCGGGCGTGGTGCTGGCCACCCACCCACCCCCTCGTGTGCCGTGACGGCCTTCATAGGTGCTTTCTAACAGCACTTGCCCCTACAGTCTGTTAAGGCTATACGGGCGATCTTTGTCTTTGCTTGTGTGAGCGAGTGGGGAGCGGTGGCGCAGCGGGTTAGCGCGCCACCGCCTTTGACTCGCGCTCACGGTCCAATAACAGTGACGGCGAACATTTGAACCGGTCCTCTGGCCTCTCCTCGGTCGACTTAGCCTCAGATGTGCGTCGTGTAAACATCGGCACTGGGGAAACAAAGGCGGCCGCGTGCGATGTCGGCCAACGCACCCCTGTGGTGTGCCGTGCGGGACTTCACTGGGGCTCGCTAACAGCCCTGTGCCCCAACAATCCCTTACCGGCTGTACGAGGGGGAAAGGCGGGTTGGGGGTGTGGGGAATCATTGTCTTTGTGCGCGCGCGTGATATTTTGATTGTGACGTCGGCACTGGGGGAGCAGTGACGTCGGCACTGGGTAGCGGTGACGCGCGCACGAAAGCGCACGTCGAGCGGACCAAACGGCCTCTCGCTCGGCAGCAACAGGTGAACCTCCAGGCCCCCAAGAGATGCCCCCCCCTCTCCCCCCCTCCCCGCCCCCCGGCTCCCCCCCCACACACACACACACACACATGCGTCGGTGACCTTTGCATACAAGATCAACGTCGACGAAATTAAAAACATAACCCGCCCCCCTGCCCCCCGCACCTCATAAATGGGCATCTTCACCATCATCACCCTCGCAGACCGAGGGGGGTGCAAGCCCCACCCCCCAGCCCCCCGCCACCCCCCCCTTGTCAATCCACCGACGGATGAAGGCCTCCCTCGTGGTAGCACGTGGGTCGCCGAGGTCAATTCACCAAACGGGGATATGCCGGTGAGGGTTAACATTTAAAAAAAATAATTGTATGTGATAGATCAAGTTTCACTGGCTCAGACAGACGCGGGCCAGCGAGGCAGCGGCCGGCAGACCTGTCCCGTTCGCCCTTGGTCAGGATCCACAAGTGAGCTTCTCTCGAAGGAGAGCTCCCGCGGGCACGTGGCGCGAAACGTCGGACGTCGCGCCATCGAACACGCGCAGCCGTGCGTGTAGGTGGGGAGCGGCGGCGCCGCCGCTACGGACCCACGCGGGCCGAGTTCGAGTGCCGCTCGCGGCCACCGACAACTGGTGACGATTATCCGCTCCGGTGCCGGGCCTCTTCTGGGGCGCCTCAAATGAGTAACCTGGTGCGATGGGTAAGACATCAGCCACTGGGGAGATGAAGGCTGCGTGGCGCGCGGTGTCGGTCACCCACCCCTTGGGGCGCCGTGGCGACCTTCCTAGGCTTCACCCGCTAGCAGCACTTGCCCCGAAAGCCTGTCGAGGCTATACGGGGGAGGGGGTGGGGGATCTTTGCCTTTGTGCAGATTTACACGGCAGGTTGAAACGTTCGACAAAATAACCGCGTTAGCACCACTCGCATTACGGGGTGGAATTGCACTCCACTTGCAGGATATGTTCGAAAGTGAATTACGCAGACAAGAAAAACTCGCCCCCCCCACCATCACCCTCACCCCCACCCCCCGCGCCTCCCCCGTCCGCTTGCTCGTAAGTCGATTAACCCCCCCCCCCGGGCGGCAATTATTTGGCGATATTCCGGAAACGTCGCAGCCAAAATGCAATCTGGCGTGCGGACGTGCGATGGGGGAGTCGCCGCGGAGCGACCGAGGTCGCGTTTGCATCGAGCGACGGCTCAAGTGCCGGCGCTCCAATTCTACACGTCGTGGTGGGTCATGCGTGTCGGAAGCGCCGATGGGTGGCGTGCGTGGGGGTGAGAGGGGAGAGGCAGGAGAGTGCGTGGAGTAGAGTGAGATGGGAGAGGTGGGAGAAAGCGTGGAGTAGAGTGAGATGAGAGGGAGAGGTAGGAGAGTGCGTGGATGGGAGTAGAGTGAGATGAGAGGGAGAGGTAGGAGAGTGTGTGGAGGGGAGTAGAGTGAGATGAGAGGGAGAGGTAGGAGAGTGCGTGGAGGGGAGTGGAGTGAGATGAGAGGGAGAGGTAGGAGAGTGTGTGGAGGGGAGTAGAGTGAGATGAGAGGGGAGTGGTAAGAGAGTGCGTGGAGGGGAGTGGAGTGAGATGAGAGGGAGAGGTAGGAGAGTGTGTGGAGAGGAGTAGAGTGAGATGAGAGGGAGAGGTAGGAGAGTGCGTGGAGGGGAGTGGAGTGAGATGAGAGGGAGAGGTAGGAGAGTGCGTGGAGGGGAGTAGAGTGAGATGAGAGGGAGAGGTAGGAGAGTGTGTGGATGGGAGTAGAGTGAGATGAGAGGGAGAGGTAGGAGAGTGCGTGGAGGGGAGTGGAGTGAGATGAGAGGGAGAGGTAGGAGAGTGTGTGGAGGGGAGTAGAGTGAGATGAGAGGGGAGTGGTAGGAGAGTGCGTGGAGGGGAGTGGAGTGAGATGAGAGGGGAGAGGTAGGAGAGTGCGTGGAGGGGAGTGGAGCGAGATGAGAGGGGAGTGGTGGGAGAGCGTGTGGAGGGGAGTGGAGTGAGATGAGAGGGGAGAGGTAGGAGAGTGCGTGGAGGGGAGTGGAGCGAGATGAGAGGGGAGTGGTGGGAGAGCGTGTGGAGGGGAGTGGAGTGAGATGAGAGGGGAGAGGTAGGAAAGTGCGTGGAGGGGAGTGGAGTGAGATGAGAGGGAGAGGTAGGAGAGTGCGTGGAGGGGAGTGGAGCGAGATGAGAGGGGAGTGGTGGGAGAGCGTGTGGAGGGGAGTGGAGTGAGATGAGTGGGGAGAGGCAGGAGAGTGCGTGGAGTGGATTAGAGTGAGATGAGAGTGTAGAGGCAGGAGAGTGCGTGAAAGGGAGTGGAGTGAGATTAAGCGTGTCATCTTGAAGTTGATCTGGGATTTCATCGGTAACCGGTGGAGGGATCGAGTCACGATGGATCACGTGGATGTGTTTGGCGATGAGGGGTGAAGACTCTGAGCCGGGCCGATGTGCTCTCGTCTCTCTCCCGCGGTGTCTCGGCGATGTGCAGCGCGTCTTCTTCGAACGCTGGGGAGCCGGGCAAGCCCATCTCTGTACCAGCGTGGACGGCACCCTCGTATTCACCTTCTGAAGCGCTCGCTCATCACCGTAGCGTGCGCGATGACCACCACCACCACCACGTGGCTTTTCTTTCGTGTTGTGCGCGCTGCATTTAGCGCCACAGCGCGTGGATTTGTAGCGTTTACTTGTTTGCTGGTGACTTTGTGTGTTTCGTATCGGAATCGCCTCCAGTGCTGTTGCTGCTGGCGGCAGTAAAAGTTGTTATAAAAGTCACTCCCCCCCCCACCTGTCCCCCGCCCCCATCTGCGACGACAACTCACGCTGCTCGAGCGAGGGCTGATGAATCCATCTGTGCGGAACCGCGTGTGCATCAACACCACAAACAGCAGCAGCAGCATCTGTAGCGGTGGCACGCGCGCACGCACGCGCGTTTATGTGCGCGCGCGTGCGTGCGCGTGCGTGCGTGCGCGTGCGTGCGCGTGTGTGCGCACAGAAACCATCCCCTCCGCCTTCCGACAGCTGCGGGTGATGCGCGATAATTAATGCGCCATATCCGCTCACATTTTAATTTGTTGCCATGGGAACGGCCAATTGTATATTATTTACTCGTCCTTATTTATTTCATTTAGCTTCAGGCCTGACCCGGCTGTTTTGTGCGTTTTGCAGAGCCGCGTCGCTTGCGCCACTTGGAGATCACAACATCTTCATCCAGTCCATCACATGTAGATCACACCATCTCCCTCAAGTCCATCACATGTAGATCACACCATCTCCCTCCACTCCATCACATGGAGATCACATCATCTCCCTCCAGTCCATCACATGTAGATCGCACCATCTCCCTCCAGTTCATCACATGGAGATCGCACCATCTCCCTCTAGTACATCACATGGAGATCACACCATCTCCCTCCAGTTCATCACATGGAGATCACACCATCTCCCTCCAGTTCATCACATGGAGATCACACC